ACTGTCATAAATTAGTTTTCTTGTTAAGGATATTTATACAAATTAAATTATTTATTAACATTTTTATTTAAATGAAATAAGGTTTTTTTTTAAAAAAAATAATATTAATTTATTCAGAATATATTTTATAGACGAAATGATTTTAAAAAATTATAATAAATAAATACATTTCATATTTACATTTTTTCTATAAGATCAACGATGTACCTAACGATTAATACAAAACATCCAAAACATTATCCTTTTGTCCATTATTTATTATTTTCTTGACGGTGTATTTTAAATTCTTAAATCCTATAATCTTTGTAGTGTTGTATTAATGTTATACTTTGAAAATCATGAATCTTGTGTATATGTGAATCTATGTGCTTACAAAATAACATTTTGTTGACTTCACATAAAAAAAATAATATTACGATTGATTCGGTAATAGAAATACGTCAACTAATTTGAATGGCAACTCATAAGAAATTTATATCGTTTCGTTATTACGTTATTACGTTATTATGTTACGTTGATTAACATTTAAAAACATATCACCAATGAATAATAAATATTTATTAATGATTAAATATTTTAATGAACAGTTGAGTATAAGTTTACTAAATATTTCAATGCTGAGTAGGAAATACCATTAGTGTTTTAGAACAAACATTTTCTGTTTTCGAATATCATAATACGACTATAAGTCATCATAAATAGTGCAATATTATTAGAAGTAGACAGTTGGTATTAGTGATTGTAAGATAAGTTAGGGAAAACCAACTTTGGGAAAGAAAAGGGTATCATACAATTCTAGACAATTGGTCTAATATTTATTAAAAACAAGAAAAATGGTCCTGAATTAAATAAAACCGTTAATTTCGTTTCAATAAGGGTAGTTTTAAGGATGTTTTGTATACGTTTAGTATACGTTTTGAAAATAGTCTACACGCATAGATGTGTTCATAGGTCGTGCCTCTCATGCATATGCACGACTTGCAAAATTAGTGTCTGATATTATTATCAACTAATGCTGGTTCAAAATTATAATTCCAAAATGACGTTTACAATTATAGTAGAAATTAAAAAAATTTGTAATTATACTTGTATTATAAGGTAATAATGATTTTTTCATAATTTGAAAATCGTATTTTCTTTTCTTTTTGGAACCCAGTATCGTATTTATATACTTCGGTGTTTATCAATTATTCCAATTTTGGGCCATTACTTGTATAATATACATCTATTGCGCCAATATAAAAAATTTCATTTAAAACTATTTCCATTATAAATGTAAGCACGAGCCACGACGACATACATACAACGCTTGAAGTTATACTGAACAATACTTCAAATTTATTTTACAAACACATAATATTTGTTGACATTTTGTTTTATCTTCAAATACTAAAATAACATTATGATAAAAATAATGATTTTCAAACATATCTACGAGCACAACAACTTAAACCCATTTATTACCGAATATACAATACTGCTAATCTATAAGTCCTAAAATTAGTGTATTATACACGTTTATAAATATGTAGGAATCGATTGGCGCAATTGATATACAACATTATATTACATTTGAATATCGATCGGCGCAGTTGATACATGCCTGTATATTTGTCTTGTGATCGACCTGCTGAAAAGAATACGGTTATGTTTACACATTATTCACAGGTCACACATAACGGACATAATTGTTCCATCGTATAATATGTACAATTTTTGTACAAATTATCACATAACCTGTTGATATTTTTGCTAAAAAATTATGTTTTATAAATAAATGTCCCTGCGTAAAACATCTAAAAATGCATTCGTTGAAAATCAATAATTATATTTAATTTATGAATACAATTTCCAAGTTTTTTTTTATTCCATAACTATAGTGGTATAAAAAACATTTACGGATAATTGATACATAGAATTGGTGACGTATTTTACAAATACGTTTGTACGTATTAATACAATTAACTTATAAGTAAGTTATTTTTTTTACAATAGTGACTAATTTTGAATTAGTTACATTATTGGTATCAATTTTAATCTGAAACTATTTTAAAAATATAGGTATACACATATAATTATATATATATATCATATTCATCAATGACGATTGACGATATTTTATAATAATTATTAATATATCAATATATTATAATACTTGGCTTTGTAAAATATTTAGCTTAGTTCCAAGGACTCCCCTCCCCCGGCTAATGCCTCTTTAGCCATTTCCTTAAACCCGTCCTTGCATACAAGTTATTCATTATATATATGAAATAACTTACAAACATGCGACCAACTGTAATGGCTAATAGTATAAAATATATGATAAAATTGCTTAGTAACTATAATTATTATTATGTATCCAACAACTAACTCATTAATAGTATAAACTCCTTAAGCTTTAATTGTTTTTTAAATGCTATCTATAGTTAATAATTATTGTTATATAACTTGAATGATAATCACTAACTACTGTTGACTTAAAATGATTTACGTTGTAATGTTATACATGTCATAGATCGTATATTGCTTGTACATAGTTTGCGTTATAATGATTATATTTGAGTTGTCGAGTTTTCATAAAAACAAAGCTCGACAAAACACGAAGTATGTGTTTATAAATAACTATTAGTTATTAAACTGGTTTCTATTAATTATATTATTACATTTCATATTATTATACGACCAAGAGTCACGGATTGCTATGTGCATTATTTTACAAAAAAAAATATTTGCTTTTTTCCTCGAAATGACTACCTCATTTTTTTTCTTCATATTGTTTCCGTATTAATTAATCGTCGACGCACATTAATATTTAACCAAATAATAATTATTTTTTTACACGTTCATTACTGAGTGCTTCAACCTAACAGTCTTGACATAATATTTATATAAAACTGTAAAGGTACAACGGTCTAAACATGTTGTGTAATGTACCTTTTAAAAATACCTCGATGTTTATTAATGATTGGACACACGTTCACGCACAATAATTTCTTGTCAGATTAAATGTTTACATTTTTGTTTTCTATCATGTTAATTTTTTTGCCACAATATAGTCGAATGTCCAGGTGCGATTCGAAAACCACAATGATTTAGGTACGAATAAAACGACTCCCGAGCCTTACATTTTTGTGCGGTTAGAAACTTTTTGTATCATTCAACGCGCATCATACCATTAAGACGTAATACTGCACGTAATTTCTATTAAATTTTTTCAGCTTGGCGTTTATAACTGCAGCTGTCGATGTCGAATGTTCCGTAAACAGTATTTATATACTTATATGTATAATATACATTTTTTTGTGCTGTATTATGTATCACTTGTGTGACTATGCAATGCATGTCGTAAGTACAGATAAGGTATTCCGGTTAACGGGATTCCGGGTATATTTAATTATAGGTATTATTTGTGATAGTGGACTATAAAAAATACGGTTAGAACATTGATTTTATAATATACGCTATGTGTATACCATATTAAATCAATAATTAAAAAATGTTGTACAAACGTGTATTGGAAATAAAAGAAATTGAATTCGGGCGATTAGGTATATGATTAGATTATCAAAACCATCAAAAAAATCGTCCAATAAAAAAAAATTGTATGATGCCATTCGATATCGTTTAAAACTGATATTGTTGCTTAAATGGTTTCAATAAATTAGCAAAAATTATTGTTGAAGTTCGAAAATTGAATTATTAGGTATAGCTTATCCTATCATTCTAACTCGTTATATGTACTTGGAATTTAAATGTATTACGCTATTTCGATTGTATTGAGTTAATTATTGTTAGCGTATATAAAACAAGTTTTACAGTTTTTAATTTTTAAATGTTAAAAAAAGCATTGTTATTTGCATAAATAAATATATTTATTTTCAAAAATAGTCAATTAGTTTTATCAATTATATAATATAAATTAATATACCTAACTAGTAAATTAAGTTCACCACGTCACTGGTGTTCACAATACAATGTATTTTATCGTATTCAATTTACTATACATAAACAATTATACAGCAACTATATTATGCTTTGGACCGTGGGCATTGTTATGTTACTGTTTTATTGTACGCGTAGAAAGGTTTTAGATATTTTAAAGCGATCCCGACATAAATAAAACATCGCAGACCACCGGATGGGCAATTGAAAATTAAATGCAAATGACGTACATTTAGGACAGCATGGTTTGAAATATATTTCAATCCGGGCGAACGTGGGAAAAAAATTCGCGGGGAGAGTAGTAACAATGTAAAATGTTGATAAATAGCATGCTTTATTAATCATTATATAATACATATAAGGAGTGACGGTGCTACAGTTTGCGAGGCCTTGGACAAAATAAATGTTGGGTCTTATAATTTATACTAATAAAATATTTTAAGTTCAGTTAAATCAGAACCACAGGACCTTAATTATAATTTAAGGTGTGGGGTCCTGGGCAACTGCCCCTATTGCCCACCCCCTCGTGCTGTTCCGGCATATATGTATATTTATATATTTTATTTACAAGTTTTATGGGAAACTTTGAGATAACTGTTAAATGTATAGGTCTGTTCATATTTTTATTACGTTTTTTCCGATATTTCGTGGAGGGTTAAACTATTGAATTGGATTACGTTTAATATGAGCTTATTTCAGTTAAATCACGGATCCTTTACTTTTAGAGTACAATTTTAGGGCCCCATTTACAAACATTTCGGTTACATCCAGGCAAATCCTTGCGCACGTCTGTGGACTAAAACTCCGAGCACTGAATACCGCTAGACGATGATATGGCACCATCCCCGCGAAACACTCCACCATTACCCATTGGTGAAGACCGCTATCGAATCCATCAAGTGGCAGACGAGCGCACGTGCGATAACGCAAATGTTTATGGAGATAATATTATCTCGACGGCAAAGTATAGTTTTGTCGTTGTGGTAACGCGATCGCGGTCTACCGGTTATCACGGCTTATCGAGATAAAGAATAAACTTATTCTTGTATTCTTCATTTATTTGTATTTTATATTTTATATTTGTATTTTTTATAAATTTTAGTTTATTCTTTGTCTCGATGTTACGGTTACAACCCTAACGGACGGGACAGATAAGCGATTGCGAAACATTACCGGGAAACAGATTAAACCGCTATCGGACTAACCACCCCCTCCTTTTCTAACCCCGTCCGAAGGGCTGCTCTGATAACGTTTCGGCGAAAGATAATATCGTTGTCGTCGTCGAAGTTGGTCGCGCAACGCTCGGCTCTGCGGTTCGGTCACGTGCAGTTGTTTGTTTCATCGGCGGCCACAGTCCGCGGCCGTCAGTCGTTTTCCCCCTCGTCCCGTGACGTATGAGCCGGTTGGGCCGTTGATGTTCGGGCGGCCTCGTTGGCGCGCGCGTCATTCTCATCCCGTTTCCGACCGATAAATCAAACACACTACGAGACCAATATCAACAACAGCCGGCCGAGTACGCGGTACACGGGTGACAGGTGATTGCGTATCACACTACTACTACTACAGGTACGTGCACGGTTGTGTGTGTTTGTGTGTTTTTTTTTTATTTATTCTCTACTTCGGTTCAGCACCGAGTCGTCCCCCTGCACGGTCGCGATGATTCCGATTGGCCGTGTTAGGATCACATTCAATGAGCTCCTGATTTCGTATACACCCCCAACACCAGTGATATCCTTTTCGGTCGCAGGGATTTGTCTATGTGTGTGTGTGTGTGTGCTTATGTAAACTTGTTTGTATTGATGTTTAAACTATTATTCTCTTATCCGTACAAAGGTAGATCAGCACTAAAGTCTTTCAACAACTCACCGTTACGATGATGGCTCCCATAAGTCGATTGGCTACGATGTTTTTATTCGCTGTGATATACAACGTTTTATCTGCTCGTGGCACTCGCATTGGCTTGTACGAGGACACTGATCTGATGGAAATATTGGATAGCTCTAATTTCAATGAGAAAGTCTTGCAAGGAAATACGTCTTACCTGATCGAGTTTTACAATGCCTATTGTGGACATTGTATAAGGTTCTCTGGCATATGGAAAGAATTTGGTCTCCAAGTATATGGTAATATTCTATAATTGTATTATAATTTCATTAATATCTTATAAGCTATATGTATAGTATTTAAACACCACAAGTATTTGTGTAAAATGAATGAAAACCATTTTTACCATACTATTAGTTGCTATAACACAATCAACTAGGCGTTAGTCGTGCTATGGTCAAAATGACTGCACTTTTTTTTTTTATCTTTAATAAAACATATACATTTTAATAATCTTAAAATCATTGATGCTCTATATATTTTTCAATCATTTTATTAAAAATAATATAACAATATTGTAAGTAAATTTTAATCTTTATGCATAGATAAAACTAATAACGTAATGTACATACACCACATGCCAACTTAATAACAATTTTAGTAAATAATACTGATTTATTTCTCTATTATTATATTATCTCCACTTATTTTATCTAAACATATTATTTATTGAGTCATTGATGTTTGAAGATAAATTAAATAAAATAAATACTAATAATTTCATTAAAATCTTAAAAGTATGTAGTTGTACTTGTCGTACACTATGAATTAAACTATTATATTTGGTTTCGATCAATTTTTTTTGTTTAAGAATGATGCATATTTTCCTATATACTGGTTGATAGAAGCAGTATTTAAATTCTTGCATAGTAGTAAATTCAAATTTTTATCAAATTAAATGTTCTATAACTTTTTTTTGTTTCTTCATACCATTAACCACTACACTTCTTTCAAACATTTAACCAAATAATGAATTTATATCATGAAGAGTTGTTTAAAATATAAAATAATTTTTTTTTTTTAATTCTGTTGTTTTTTTTTTATTTTATTTTATGATAATGTAGTATTTAAAAAAAAATGTAGTTGGGGTTATCCTAAGTACAAGAATAGTTTAAATTTTTTCCTTTAAAATTTTAAAAGATCTATAAAGAAGGAGAGAAAAATTTAAAACAATTTTACTCTAAGAAGACATATTAGTGTCAAATAAAAAATAAAAAAAATAAAAATATAGTCCAAAAATATGATTTATTTATAATTTTATATTTTATTTATTACTGTAATAAGTAGGTAAATTAAACAGAATAAATTGTAATTATTCAAAGTTATTTTTAAGTTTAAACCATACATTTAATAATAAATGTATGGTTTATTAAAAAAACATAATTTTACTTAAATAGTAAATTTCTGTTTGTTAGGTGTGAATCTTACTTTTTTTCTTTAATTATTTTCAGTTACAAAACTATACATTATATAATTAGTAATAATATAATTTACTATTTTCAGGGTGGAACAATTATGTAAAAGTTGGTGTAATTGATTGTTCAAATCAATTAAACAGTCAAACTTGTCGAGACTATGAAATAATGGGGTATCCAACTGTACGATATTTTGAACCCCATCCAGATCCGACTAATATTGGAGTAAATTTTGTTGCATATAATAATCCAGAATTAATGAAAAATAATCTTATAGAAAAGCTTAGTGAGACTCAAAGGAATGGAAATCTATCATCTTTGTGTGATATACAACCATATGATAAGGACAATATAGTTCTAGATTCAAATAATTTGTTGACATTTGTAATAATTGAAAGTACAACAAACAACAGGTTAGCTCAGGAGCTTATAATTGATTTTTGTCGTGTCAAAAATGTTAAAATAATATATGCTTTAAACTCTAACACAAAATTAGTAGACCTATTGGATTCAAAAATATATCCAAGTCTTTATAAAGTAGACAGTTATAATCACTTTCAACTTTTAGTGAATAATAATAATAAATCTTTTTATATTGAATCTATCAACAAAAATCTAGAGGCTGAGCACATAACTCCATTTAATATAATTGATATTACAACTAAATTGTATAATATGATATTCAAAAATGAAAAAGTTCTATTGGAATATAATATAGTATATTTGTCAGATTTAGAAGCTACACTGAAGTATTCTTTGGATCATGAAATAACATCTCGTAGTATTATTTCTGGTGAGGCATTAGAATCGTTAATTGGCTATTTAGAGCTTCTTAGCGAATGCTTTCCTACAAATATAAGAGGTAAAAAATTCATAAATTTATTGTTGGATAGCATACGCGATAAAAAAACAGTGTCTGGAGAGAACCTTGGAGAATATGTTAATAAATATGAATTTTTAATAAGCCCATATGTGACTAAACATAAATGGATTGGATGCCAAGGTAGCAACGCAATGTTTAGACAATATCCTTGTGGTTTGTGGACTCTGTTTCATACACTTACTGTACAAGCATCTATGAAGAACTTGGATACATTTAACGGTATCCAGGTTTTGGAAACCATTGCTGGCTATGTTAAACATTTCTTTGGGTGTACCGACTGCTCTGAACATTTTATGGGTATGGTTACTACTATAAAAAACAATGTTTCGTCATTCGATGATGCAGTTTTATGGCTTTGGTCAGCTCATAATCAAGTAAATCAAAGGCTTGCTGGCGATGTCACTGAAGATCCAATGTTTCCAAAAGTATTATTTCCAATTAAACGACACTGTGAAACATGTCGTAATAATGTGACTAATGAATGGAATAAATCTGAAGTACTTGCGTTTTTGAAAAAAATGTATTCTACTGTAAGTAATAAACAGGCTTCTAATGTTATTAAACCTCAAAATATGCTATCAGCTCAACAAACTATTGAAGAAAGTAACTTTAATGATATATTTGACAAAGAAGAATGGAAAATTGATGTTAGTACTTGTATGATTTCATACATTTTGTCATGTAGTGTGTTAATGATATTGTTTTATGTATTGGTAATTAAGAAACGATGTAAAAAAAATAAGTACTTCTACTTTGTATTAAGTAAAGTTTGAATGTAGTTTTTACTTAAATATTTATTTTATAATATTTGATTGAAAAAATGTATTTTTATAAGGTATAACGAGTTAAGAATAATTTTATTGAAAGACTATTGTATTATATTATTATGGTTGTTTAAATCCTTTTATTAGGAATGATATGTTTATTTATAAAATGTGTATCCTATACATATACTGAAAAACTTAAAATTGTTAAATAATCATTTATTTATGAATAAAACTACATTTAAAAAGAGTTTATATTATTTTGAAGCTTTTTATTTTTAAAAATTTCATCTAAGAAATGTATTTATAATATTGAAAACAAATATTTTCAATTTATAATAAAAATTAAAAAATAGCTTTTGTAATAATGTAAAAGTGTAAAATTGTTGGCTTGAGTGTTACTACAATATGAAATATTTTTACAATACTATGTTAAGTGCTAGGTACTTTTGGCATTTATTTAGAACTCTTATTTCGATAATAAAAGTTGACAAAATATTCAAAAATTACATAAGTCAGTATCATTTCCTATAAGAATATTGGTAACAACAATGAAAACATAGTTCCTTGGTTTTATTTTTCAATGATTAAAATGTCGAGTAATATTTCCACCCAAAAAGTTTGATGCAGCAACTCTGATTATAAATTTGATAAATATGGCACATAAAAATTTTTTTTTAGTTTTTTGTTACAATTTTTCCTATACAAAAAAAAAAAAAAATAAAAGAAAAACTAGCAATAATATCCATGAAAGAGAGACAATTAAGAACGCTACCTATTGTACAACAATCAATAACAACAAAATCTTTCTGACAATTGAAATTGTATTATTGGCTCGGGCCCGGATTAAATGATTTGCCTCTCATATGCTAATTTAATTTGTCGCTTCCATACTAAATGTATTTTTCTCCAAAAATAAATTTTTAAATATTAATTTAAAATAAAAACCTTATTTTAATAATTAAAAACAATAAAAAAAAATTGTTTTATTAATATCTGCTGTCCTGTGCGATCGCATAGTTGTACAAGTATCATAGATCCACTATTTATTGTCATTATTGTGTCAACATTAGATATCAATGGTTTATTTTTTTAAAAATAGGAGAAATTTCAAATCATACCTATACTTGTACTTGTAATATACATAAATATTAATTAGGGGTTGGTAGTGAGGGAGTAGTTTCTCAAAATTAAAACGTTATAATTTAGCTATACTGCTATATAAAAATTAATTTTTAAATAGGTTTCTGGGTTTTATACATGATTTTTTTTTTTTTTAATTATTTTTATTACTTTAACACTAAAAAGATACTAAATTATAGGTAGGTAGTATAATAGAATAATAGAATATCTAAAAAGATAGTTTTTATTTATTTTTTAAAGTATTATTAATTAACAATTATCATTTGATTTAGATATTATAATTTATAATTACATATTTGAAATAATTTTAAATTAGGTTGTTAAAAATACAGGATAAAAGTGTCATTATTGAACTTTGGTCGGGATACCGGGACGTTTCATTCAAATACGTATGGAATCCCTAATCATCATAACAATATATAACTATATTGGCTTTCATAACTAAATCATTACCTATAATACTATTATAATGTTACTATAATATTATATGGCATGATATTAAATTACAATAATATTTTAGGCTAAACTATATAATCCGAAAGTCCTTTTAAGTTTGTCAAATAGCATTTTGTCATTTAATGCAACTATTTATGTATGTATAATTTTATATTTACTTAGTTTTTTTAAAAACCGTTTCATGTTTAATTAGGTGACATATGGTTCGTATTAAGGTAATACAATAGTTTGCGAAAAATAATTATTTTTAACCACTATAAAAGTATAACATTTAATTTATTGCCAAATTAATAATATTATCATATGAACATTAAGTAATATTGTAAAATGCTATATTTTTTCATTTGACTGAGTTTTTTTGACGAAAAATATTCTGCAAGATGCGGATAATCTGGCTGTTCCTATTTATAGGAGCTATTCAAGTGAGACATTTTATTTTTTATTTTCATTGTAGAAATAATTTTTATTAGTCTAACATAATAATGATAATATATTGAGCCTAATAGGTTTACCGTATCGAGTAGCACCATCGCGGTGAAATTAATCATTACCAATGTTTATACCTCGATTCTTGGATATTATATATTACTTTATTGACTTATTAGTAGGGCTGTGAATTTAATGCACTAAAGAACTTTAAAAATGCATTAAAATATCAATATAAAATGCCAAAAATTATAGTATGAATTGGTTTTTAATTTAATTTTTATATTTATATTAATATTAGGTACAGGATATTATACATTAGTATATTACATGCATAAATAAGTGTTTATTTAATTTAAAAAAAAAAATAAGAAAAATTTTGATCGAATTTGATTTTTCTTTACTA